ATGTAATTTAAAATAATTTCTGACCGTACGATATATGATAAAATGACAAAATTAAAAGATTCACGGAATTCTCATAAAGAAGATTCGGAGAGAAGCCTATTTCTTGTTCAAAAGCCAACCTTTATACAACAGATAAAAAAAAGTAGAGATCCGATTTGGTGCGTTGCACTCTATTTCGTTGTGAAGGCATTTAAGTCTATTGCAACAAAAATAGTTAAAATTATAAGATTTAAGAAAAGTAGGCTAAATAAAATATATTAGTATTCCAATTTCCCATTTGAAATTCCGGGACTCTTCCGCTCTACTCTCCCTTCCTCGGCCAGTTTGTGTCTTTCAGGTACGGCGGACGCCGTTGATGATTGACCTCTCCCAACCCTTGTCTCCGTCTGGATCGATGTCATGGACCTCTCCACAAGCTCATCTCTCACATTCGTTAACGCGTAGTTTTTCTCTCTCTCTGAGATTCTTTGATACCCGGTGAATCTGCACTGAGTTCGACGCCAGTAAGCCTCTCTGTTCAAATTCTGTGAAATAACGATATTCATTAGTTTGCAAAGGGTTTAGGGTTTAATATTTCAATCAATCTCCGTTCGTATTTTTGTTGATTTTATTATTATTGTAATAATTATTAATTTTCATTTATTTGAGTGATTAGAGGAACCCTGTAAAATTCATTTATGTTGCTGTTATATAATCGAGTAGTTGAATTAAATTCCCTGTTTATCCAATAATGCATTTTCAAAGCTATGAATGCCAATTTTATAGATTTGAAATTCATTGATTCGGACAAGCTTTTGCATTTCTAATTTAAAATTACTAAAAATTCAGTTTAGACAAGATAAATCTTTATAATGAGGCAAAGGCAGAGTGCTGCTGTCTCACCAGCAGCAGAATCAGTCAAAACCGAAAACCTAGTTCCTACGAAATTAGGTCCACAGCAAAAGGAATCCCCGCCAGGTGATTTTCTAGGCTCCTCCAGGAAGGTCTTTGCACTCTGTTTGGCCTTTCGAATGGTAAATGCTCTGTTGATTCAGACCTATTTTAACCCTGATGAACACTGGCAAGCCCTTGAAGTTGCACATCGCATCACTTTTGGGTACCCCTTATTTCTCCTTTTCTTTTTCAAGGCAAAGAGTGAAGATTCTTGATTTAAAAGGGTAAATAACTAATCCTCAAATGGGTTTCTATTTTTATTGTTGTGTAATGACAGGTATGGCCATTTGACATGGGAGTGGAAGAAGGGGATTCGTAGCTATTTGCATCCTTTTCTCTTTGCCTTCCTTTACAAAGCTCTTGCAGTGTTGGGTCTTGATACCCCATGGCTCATGGTAATCGTTTTATAATTATGGGCAATGTATGCCTTAGTTAAACTATAATGCTGTTATTATATTATATGCAAGGGAAGGAAGAATGGTTTCCTGGGAACTGTATCGTTGGCGGACTTGTGGATATAAAAGTTCATACTTGTTACAAGTTAAAATGATCATCGGACAGATGCATCACTTGAGAAATTAGCTTATTCTGATTTTGAATCATTATAGTTGCCTACATAGGTTTCTAGGAGTTATTATGAATTGTTGTCATTAAGTGATTTAAATGTTTTTTTCACGTGCATTGGTATTTGTTCTAGAAAGGTTTCCCTTGATTTCCTTATGCTTACTTTGCACCCCAAAATCACATTAAACTTCTGCTGCATGAAGTAATTCCATTTCTCCTTGTTGTCTTTTGAAGTTCGTATTGTCATCTTTATTCTATCTTCTGCAGGTCAAGGCTCCGCGGCTATTTCAGTCTTTTTTAGCTGCCTTTGGTGATCTATACTTGTATAAACTCTCTGTCATCCTCTTTGGTGACTGCGTTGCTAAATGGGCTGTATCCTTTTGTACAGGGGTTCTTTACTCCTTTAATGGTAATAGTTGTGTCTAACTGTAAGTTTATTTCAGATAGTCAATTTCAATTACTATTGTTGACTGAAAACACTATTGTAACATCAGGCTCTTTCTGGTAAAGTATGTACTTAACTCAATTCCAGCTGTTCTCACAATTGACAAATTGGTTTATGTTTTACTGCATCACTCGTACATTATCAAATAGTTTGGAGACTGTTCTTACCCTTGTGAGCCTGTACTACTGGCCCTGTATGAGGGCTTCTTCCAGCAAACTTCCTTTGGAATCAAGGAAGTGGGGTTTGATTATTGCCGCATTAGCTTGTGCTATCAGACCAACAAGTGCTATCATATGGCTGTATGTTGGGCTTCTTGAGCTATTTTTGACATGTGATAAACTGAGATTCATTTTTCTGGAAGTGGTTCCTATGGGGTAGGTATTTAGCCATCTCCCACTGAGTACTTGTTTTAAATAGTGCTTATATTAGGAACTTGATCATGAATTGTTGGTGCTTCTGAGCTATATCATAGGTTATTCTCATAATGATTTTTGTCCTGTTTGTTTTCTCTTTTATTTCGGCAGTGGACTAGTAATTGAAAATGAAGCTTGAATTATGAATTTTTGAAGTTTGGCTTTAATGGTAACATGGAGTTATAGTTGATGACTTTGCAATGCTGCAATTGGATAGATGCAGACGCAAAAAAAAAAAAAAAAAACAAAGGAGTGGCAGCTGTAGGGTTATTGGTGATTACTGAAATTTGATATGCACGTGATAAAAGGTGATGAAAACAATAATGATACCTTGAAATGTCTGTCACTTAAAACCAGTTCTGGGCTTATATAATTCTCCGAAATGTGTTTTAGCCGGGTTATGGAAATAATTTGTAAATCATGTCTTATTTTCGTTTTAGTAGTCTCCATGTATTAAGTTAAGGAACATCTAGGAAAGACGTCAGCACCACTGCAGGGTGACTAAAAATTTTAATGAATTGTGTAAGCTCCTATGGAGGCAGGTCAAGCATTCATGTCAGCTAATGTGTAGTTTTGCATAATTGAGTTGACGTTATTATTGTTCTCTTTACTCTTTTTGACCTAATGTTTCAGGGTCCTGGTGCTTGGTTTTACATTTTTATTGGATCGTTTGATGTACGGCTCATGGGTCTTTGTACCTCTTAATTTTATAAGATTCAATTTTCTTTCTGCTGGTGGAGACTATTATGGGACTCACAAGTGGCACTGGTACTTCACTCAGGGATTTACAGTCATGATATTCACTTTCTTACCATTTTCTGTTGCTGGAATCATACAATCCAAAAATTGGAAACTTTCTGGCCTTATTGCATGGGTTTTAGGACTTTATAGTGTGCTAGGGCACAAAGAATTCAGGTACCTCTTCTATTAATTTATACAATTGAATATGGTTCTTTGACCTTTCTTTCTGTTTACAATTAATACTCTTCTAATTTGACCTTACAGGTTTGTTCTGCCTGTACTTCCTGTAGCTTTGATCTTCTCTGGACATTCCTTAGCTGCATTAAGAACATCGGTTTCTGCATATGGTAAAGGAAAAGAATCATTAAAGATTCATAGCAAATTCCCTGCAAAAATGCATTTGGCCATCTTTTTCTTGCTCGCTACCAATATTCCAGTGGCCCTGTATATGAGTTTGGTTCATCAGGTACTCATTTTGCTTTTTGATAAACACAAGGGCTGGGTAGCTTTTTATTGTTCTTTGGCAAGTACTTGCTTTAAATGCTAGACTTCTACCTCAAATGTTTTCATTTAAGTTGTTTTACGGTCCCTATTCCACTTCCATCTTTCCTTTTGGATAACACTTTTGAACATGCTAGACAGAGAGGCACTGAGGATGTTACTTACTATCTATCCAAAGAAGTGCTTCACGGAAAAGTGAGAAATATACTTTTTCTGATGCCTTGCCACGCTACACCTTACTACTCTACGGTGCACCGTGACCTTCCGATGAGATTCCTAGACTGCTCACCAAGGTTTGATCCTTAGCAACGTGGATGGAATTATTTTCTTTCTTGCAGCTCTTCATGAGAACGGTTTTGTAATTTATAATTTGTTGGAAATTTTGTCGACAGTGAAGAAAAAGGAATCCCAGATGAATCAGACCAATTCATGATGGATCCTGTTAGTTTTACATCAGAGCTTGCAAAGAATTGGTCTTTACCTAGTCACATTGTAGTATTTGATTCGGAAGAAAAACAGTTGAGGGATTTTCTGATTTCACATTCTTTCAGAAAGGTGCATGCTACAACTCATAATTTTAGTGCTTAATTGTTGCATTTATGCTAAATACAAATAAGTTACTTCTTAAATTGCTTTCCATGGTTGCACTGTACTTATATCTGGCCTATGATGACAGATAAAAAGGTTTTTCCATGCGCACTTCAAAGTGGACCGTGATCTGCAAGCGTCAGTTGTTGTGTACGGTTTGACAGGCGACTGATTATTGTATGTGCAACTAGAACCACTCCAGTATGATGAGCTGGAAGAATTTATTGACTTTATGTCTTGATGAATGGAGTGAATGGCCAGAGCATGGGGGTTTATTGGATACATGCCTGCCTCAGCAGATTCCAACTTCAGACCGTCAATTAGTATGTAACAACTTTTTTCCATTCATTAACCCCGGATTTTATTAAATGTTTTGTTTCCGTTGATTTTTCTGCGTTTTTATGCGTCTATCTATGTTGTGTTAAACTTGATTTTTCAACTGGATACAGCCTGTGAGCATGGATAGGCTGTCCTGGTTAAAACTGATATCAGTTTTGACCCCTTTAGCGATGTGGTCTGAAAATGTCGTACAAATACTTGTGTCGTCATCATACATAAGCTTTTGTGTTGCTATAATTTACTCGTCTCAATTTGCATTCTTCCCTCTGTTTTGCTTCTTGTATTCCTATAATTATTTGCTATCACATTGTAGTTATGCTTTGATAATACATTAGCTTGTTGTTTAGCAGAAATGATTGCTTTAAGCCAGAATGGCGAATTGATTATAGTTACAAGTAGAGGGCAAATATGCGCATAGGTGCAGCAATACAATGATCATCGGGATATAGCTCATAACACTAGTTCTTTTTTGGTCGCTAGTTCTTGTAGTATTGAAGATGATATTTCATAAATGAAGTAGAGACCATGAGCATATGGTTAATGGTTGTCGCCCATGTCTTATACCGTTGATAGTCGGCTTCCATGTCTAGCTTGAACGGCCCCCTACTTGTCGTTAACACGATGAGATAACCCGTACCATTCTCACCCGCTTCTGAATCTTTATACAGCTCTGCGTACATGTCCAGTATGATACCTATTTTCATCATAACGAAAAGCAATTAGAATTGGAAAATAGTTTCGGACTCAGATTCTTTTTCGAACTATCTCACGTGAGATGCGATTCACATTGTAACGAATTTTTCATTTACGTACTTTCCTTAGTGTTGTTGAAAAGACTGAGCTTCCTCATTTGAAGAACCTGTAAGGTTGAATTAAGAATTGAAGGTTAAGCTCTAATTAAGGCTTTAGTTACTTCCATGGATTTACAAAATAGCAGTGAACAAGTGTAACTTGCAGACCTTGGCTTCACTGTTGAGGTTGACAGACACCAATCTAACCTTGCACTTCCCTGCAAACACAATTTGCAAATTCAATTAGGAATTCGAAACCAAAATCCATGCTCATTCGAGATTCGGAGAGTCGGGGATGCAGTAAAATTACACTACACAAAGAAATGGTATGTTCGTCGGAATGATGGAAATACAGATTCCGCTTGCTAAAATGATCAGTTTTTGATCGATATGTCACCGATATTTAATTGAATTTTGATCAGTTCAACAGTTGAGATTTATGAACTCGTCATTCCATCTAATTTATCAGAAGAAAAACCTGAATAAATGAAGGTATAAAATAGGATTACAAACCGTCGGGTGTTTCAGTGGTGAGCTGGGAACCTATTGCAAGCATTGATCTATACTTGTCAAAGTCGAAATCGACCTCCTCAGCGTCAGGGTTGTCCTCGATAGGCATCACAGGTGCGGTCCCATTTAGTCTCTTCTTGCGGCATCCTGATCTTTCTTTCAATGTAGCTGCTCCCTTCAATGCTATATGTTTCAAACCACACCAATGAAAAAAAATTATGTTGTGCTTCTAAAGTATAAATACTCTAGGTTTTCTATTGGCATTATTATATAAAACTGTTGTTCCTTTGTCGTTGGGTTAGGTATGGATGGTTGAGATGCCCCTTTTATGTGCATCTTTAACCGTCCATACCTAATAAAGATGAGTTGTGTTACATTTAGTTACCGATTTCTAACATTTGATGCATGTAGGCCCACAATACACCGCTTGTTAGGATTCGCATGTGCACATGAGAAATTAACCGTAGCATTCTTCAATACCCATATTACACAAACCACACACATGTGGGTTATTTATATATCAAACCAAGGTAGAGAACAAGGATAATGGATATAGGATATTTACATGTCGTAGCTGCAGCTGTTAGAGTTAAGATGTCACTTGCACTTGTGCTATCCATGGCCGAACCTATTACACTGTTGAGCTGCCCCTTCCTTGCCCCCATTGCTTCTGCAACTTTTGCACACTGGGCCGCCATCAGCATGGCTGCAGAAGCGATGGCAGCTTCCTTGGCAGTGATTGACCCATCATTTTCTGATTTTTCAGCTGCAATAGCAACAAGTGCAGCCGCTACACCCGCCATTGATACTGCTACAAGGACTTCAGCTCTTTGCAGCCTCTGCTCCTCTTTCCGCCTTTGCTTAATGTCTTTAAGCCATTTCTTGATCGACATGTTCTCAAATGGCACTATCTTCCATGACATCTGCACAAAAGAAGAAAGTATGACCAAAGTAATTGTCCCAGCTCAACTTCTTACAAGAACGTACGAGCCAATTCTATATACCCATTTTTTCCGAAGAAAGCCGGTGTAGTTCAATTCTGGATGCATGGCTTGTTGCATCCATATAAACGATTAAAGAGGAAAAAAAAAACAGTATGTTATCAGCATAATTGGTTTTAAGATACTCAATTAGCTGAGATGTATTTATATGCATCGTATACATGTTTCACCTTCACGTCATTGGATTTCCATGGTGGTGGAGGCTTGAGATCTGCATCATCCATATCTTGTCTAGATTCTGAGAGTTGTAAAATCAATCTCGTGAACTTTCTTATAGTATGACATATCAAAAACTGAAATTGCGACAACTTTGACCTACCGCTTAAGGACTCTTGTTGTGGCTCTTAAACTTGTCAATCGGATCATCGAGTAGAACCACTGATCGATCTTGCTGGTCTGGTTGGAAAGCTTGCACTGCAAAGTTGCACCATGCAAGGGACAGAAAATCCGTTGTCTCAGGATGTGACTCCGGAGTTGAAGTAGTGAAATTTGAATCCATGCAACTCAGCAGCAACTGGGACCTAAAAGGGTACTTTGGAGATGGAGTTTGACAGAATATGAGATTGGAACTACTCAGTGTCAAATAAACATATAAAGACATGCAAAAATCACCATCATATATAGCCACGTAACTTATGATGTGCCTAGTCTTTTCACTGAGAACATCTTGTTCCCTGTACTCGGTGATATGATTGGACATACGAGATATTACAGTTGGAAGGCCAGTTTAGATATGTCACCAATACGTTAATCGACATTTAAGTTATATTTGGTTTAAAAATTTGATTTTTCTAGCATTACCTTCAAATAATAAAATGTAGTTGCTTGACCAACTTGATGTCAAAAGTTTTCATATATTTAAGTTGGTGAAAACAATTTGCTCCATTAATAATATTACAGGAGTCGAACAGTGATTGTCTATCTTTATTTTACATTTTTTTTTATAAAACCAGTGTATTTCTTATGTGCACTCGAATTCGAATTTATTTGGAGATAAATAAGTTTTGATTAGAGCATCCAAACATGTAATTAGAGAGCACACATGCTAACCACTATAGAGCATTAGAGGGATGTAGGATACAGTCATAAAGAGAATCAATAAGGCCTTTCCTTTTGTACCTTTAAATGAAATGTGATAACCTGTCCCTAATTTTACGATTTTATAAATTTTAAAATGCGAATTTACGAGAATACCCTAGTAGCGAGGGTATTGATTTTCGTTGATCGCTAGTTCATGACGCACATGAACTATTACCTTACTGTATTCTAAAAGTATGTTGGTAAGGATTGTTATTTATTATTTCATTCATTTCATATTATTATTATTATTATATTTATTATTAAGGGTGGTTGGAAAAGAAAGAGAGAAAGAAAAGGAAAGGGGGTCTACGGGGAGGAAGAAGAAGGGAGTATCGGAGGAGAGAAGTGGAGAGGGCTGCTGCCCAATCAGAAAGATGAGGATTGGACGAATTAGGAGAAGGGAGAGGAAGAAGCTGCCCAATCAGAAAGAGAAGAAAGGAGGGAAAGGAGAGAAAAGAAAAGGGAGAAACGGGCTCACCTGCAGACCCGTGTACTTGGCGGTGACCCGGTTTGATTCCGGCCGATTTCCACCATATTTCAGTTGAAATTCACCATTCCTTCACCCAAAATCTATTCCACAACTCCGTATCTACCACCTTAGCTCAAATTTGAGGGTATTGGAGTTCAATTTCGTGAAAGAAGAAGCATGATGCAGACGACATCATTGACGGTGATCCGCCATTTTTGAATGAAATTCCATCGATCTCCACCATCATTAGCCTCCCCTTGAGCTCTGGAACAAAGCCCAAGCATTGGTTGGGGCATTGGAACGGTTTTGGAGTCGAATTGAAAACACCTATTTCTAGGGTTTCCGACAGGTTTGAGAGAAATTGGGGCTTTTCCCGGCCAAATTGGCCTTGGCCACAGCTATAAAGTTTGCTCTACTCTTTGAGATCTTCATTTCTGTAATTTTTGAGAATTTTTAGATATAGTCACGTTTTTTCGACGAGCTGGGGTGGCCAACCGCCACTCACGGCGGCGTGTGCGGCGGCGCATGGCCAGAGGACTGTCAATGTTATATTTAGGATAAATTAGATGCCTGGAGTTCAGTCCTGAGGGTCGTATGATGTAGATTGATCGTTGGAACCTAAATTCTCTACAGTACGTTAAAAGGTCATTATATGAATCGACGATCCGACTATTGGACCGTCATCAAACTTTAATACGTTATAGGACGTAATATTTAAGGGCCACAGAAACTTACGGATTGGGAATCCAACATATGGATCTTCCCCAATTGAATTTGTAAGTTCATAAAATAAAATGTTGATCGTCACTTGGTTTTAGCAATTGGTGGAGATCCGACCGTTGGATCGTAATGAAACCTTAGGACGTTGTTCTAGAAACATAATGTAGATCTTTGAAGTAACGGATCGGAGATCTGTGATGCAGATCTTTTGGATTGTATTACGTAGGGATATGTTTTATCTATTCTATCGGTAAGAACTCTGAGACGTGATTTGATAATTGGTCACAGGCGACGATAGTTCATGATGTCTTGATATTTATGCGAGGGAGTCGTAGTGTGGACCTAAGGAGAGTGGGTCTTTTCCCTCTTATCGTGTATATATATAAGATTGACATCTCCACAAACGTTTATAAATTGAATATTTCATACAATTTCTGTGAATGCTTTGGAGGACTAGTGCGAACTACGAATGGCTTAATCCCTGTTTAGGGTACGTAGGCAGTCTAACAAGACATTAGATGCAACCATATAATAAATGAGACTAAATAATTGAGACAATAACCTTGTTTGGGGAATTGAGCAATGTTAGGGACATTGGTGGAAAATGTGAGATTTAACCTTATGATTTGGTGGTTAAATGTTGGTCATTAATCAATGTGTGAAGAAGCAAGAAATTGAAGTAAGGAGACATAAGTAATGATAGTTAATTAAGCTAGTGTCTAGTTGGGCTTATCACTGATAATTATTCCCAAAAATAAATAGTTTGGAAGTGGGGCGTTATAGATTATGCATTTCATGCCATGTTGTATATATATATATATTTGGAAACACTATGTTATGGTTGAGTATTAGATTGCATCATGGCATATCCATATGCATATTATCTGCTCATAATTATTATGAATGCTTTGAAGTGCAAAGGTGAACGCAGGACACACAGGTAAGTTTAGGTGAGTTTATGGTATTAGTTGAAATGATGGAGTTATGGCATGGCTACATTTATATTTTAGCAACTCCGACATTGTTGTACATGTTGCAATAATAGGCAACTCCGACCTTGTCGTACAAGTTGCCCATGAGTCGTACATGTTATGTTAGATGCAGTTAAAGCTCATAAACCTACACCCTGATGTTAGTGCTTTCGCCTATGGCCAGGGCACAGTCCTTCACGTGATGTTCACCTCCCACACCTTGCGCTCACCTTGGATCCAAGGTAGGTGCACAGTCTTGTCGTATAGACCACAATAGGTGGTTCTGACTCGTAGGTGACCTGTGATTATTCGCATAGTCTTCACGTGATCGTAGCACCTAAGCGTATTTATTTACACCCAGTTATGTCGTACAGACCACTAAAGGTGGTTCTAACTCGTGTGCAAGGATATGTGATGAGCTATGGATTCAACCGTACAAGTCACGTGAGGTGACTCCGACTAGCATGTTAATGAGCTATTGATTCAGCCGTACAGGTCACGTGAGGTGACCCCGGCTAGCATGTTGATGAGTTATGGATTTAGCCGTACAGGTCACGTGAGGTGACACCGGCTAGCATGGTGATGAGCTATTGATTCAACCGCGTACAGGTCACGTGAGGTGACTCCGGCTAGCATGTTGATGAGTTATGGATTCAGCCGTACAGGTCACGTGAGGTGACTCCGGCTAGCATGTGGATGAGCTATTGATTTAGCTGTATAGGTCATGTGAGGTGATTCTGGCTAGCACTTCGATGAGCTATTGATTCAGCCGTATAAGTCACGTGAGGTGACTCATACAGGTCACGTGAGGTGACTCCGGCTAACATGTTAATGAGCTATTGATTCAACCGTACAGGTCACGTGAGGTGACTCCGGCTAACATGTTAATGAGCTATTGATTCAACCGTACAGGTCACGTGAGGTGACTCCGGCTAACATGTTGATGAGCTATTGGTTCAGCCGTATAGGCCATAATAGGTGGATCCGGCTGACATACCATTTCATATTGATTTATTTCACCTGGGTTACTTATTCTTGTTAAGATATTTGACACAGTATAACTGTAAGACTGTTATTTTGGTTATGGTTTTGAGTTATTGTCACGCCTGTTATTTGAAATTGGTTTGAAAAGTTTTGTTTCACTCACTCACATTTTCTATTTTTGCACCCCTTCAGGTTCTAGTAGCAGAGTTCTGTATCGACGAGGATTCATGGCACTTTTCAGTACAAATGTTCTCTTATGATGGTATAATCATTATCTTACCTTACTGTACTATACCTATGCTCTGTATCATGCGTGAAATGGGTCTAGAACCTTTCACCGCGCACTCGTGTACTTAGGCACTTTTAGATTTTAATTTATTCACATTTTATACATTATCACACTTTATGGCTTCGTCACCCTCCAGGTGTCGGCCAGCACGGCTTGATTCGAGGTCCTAGTGGACATTCCAGGTCGGGGTGTGTCATGAAAAGCATGAATTAAGGTTAAGCATGCACTTGGTGAAACGATGGATGTGAACATTTGATCAAAAGCAAGTAAACATGTATCATTAAATTTAAAAGAAAACTACTGAAAATAATTTGAAAACTTTGAGTTTTAACGATAATAACAAAATAAAAGGTAAAGTGAATAGTACCATGATTGATTTTTTTGTATAAAAATGTGGTTTTTTGTTAAAGTGAAGAGTACCGGGGGTTTTTCGTTAAAATAACCTAAATTTAATCATTATTTGATTAGAATAAGGATGTGCTTGATTAACTAATTGGTAATGCACTTAACAAAGATTAGCTTTTTTGAGCTACCAAGGGACTTCAATGGATGTGTCCACTGTTTAGGCTTGAGAAATAATTATGGGGTCACCTTCCTCCATTTTTGTCGATGGGCACTGACGGACTTTTCAAGATTTGGTTAAAGGTGTGCTCATTAGGCTCATGTGATGACCAAATATTTATTAGCCTTAGATGCTTTATTATTGAGTGCTTTTCTTATGGGAGATTATTTATAACGAAGTCATTTAGTACTACGGTCTGGTAGTATTACTCTTTATTTGTAAGTGAGGTCTTAAGTTCGAATTTTGTAGATGGCGAATTTGATACCAAATTAAGTTGCCTATTGTGTGGCTTAGCCAAACTTCTTTATCCCTTAATTTAAAATATATCGTTGTCCTAGCAAAAAATTATAACGAAAATCTCAATATGAATCTAGGGACAGTGGTGGAGCCATGATCTTACATCATGAGGGGCCTTTCACAAATA